CCCACGTGTTCCCCGAAGGCTTTCCAAACCGATTCGGGGAACACGTGGTCCGATGGCTCGGCAGCTCTGGCCTCAACGTTCGGCCACATCGGCGCTTCCAAAAAGGCAGGGGGCGGCGGTGATTCGCCGCAGGCGTCTTCGATAATACTCTCGCGCACGTTCCTCCAGGCCTCCTCACTCGGGCCCTTCGCCAGCTGTAGCAGCAGATGCACGACCCGCGCGACCTTGCCGCCGCAGTCGATGCAAGACTGGGCGTGGAACATCATGTCCTCGTATGTTTTGATGGCATCAGCGCAGCCCGAATTCACCAGCTCTGCCGCTCGCAGGGCCACCTTCTTCCACTCCAGGGCGGCCTTGAAGGAGTAGTGGAAATGCTCGTCATTGTTGAAATACTCGATTTCCTTGTTGTGGATGTCACTCAGCGCATCGTTGAGCACATCTAGAATTGGCTGGTGAATCGCAGGGTCGCTCACCTGACTGAGCAACTTGTTTGCAGCTTCCGATCTCGACGTCGTGCACATGTCTTTCGAGATTTTCCAACGCTTGCCGATAACTTCATCAATAGTTGGCGCGGTGAGATTGAGATTGAGCCGGATTGACACCACCAGAACAGCGCCCTCCACAGACTCACCAATGACCTGAAGGCAGGTCAACGGCGGAAAACAAAGCTCCTCTTCGTGGGGGTACTGCGATAACCACTTCAAGCTGGCGCCTCTGTCGATCATCCCAGTCTGAACCTTGAAGATCGTCCCAGCGCCTCTGATGTCTGAAGCGTATTGCATCGCCACCTTGTAGTCCGTCGTCGTGCTCAGGAATCCGTATTCCACTCCTCCGCGCACTCCAGCCTCATCCTCCCTCCAGAAATGCTCTGGGAGGACCCCGCCTGCAGTCCCACGCATGACCATCTCGCACTTCGATAGCTTGCTGAGCTTCACCAATCCAGAAGCTGCTAAGTGGATCGTCGTGGGGTATCGGTTAACGTGTTCCCCGTCTCTCGTGTCATTGCCACACTTGGCGAGGAACTCGTCGCGCATGAAAGCGTTCGTACTTCCTTGAAGGGGCCCACCTCGACATACGGCGTTGTCCGCCGCCATGCCGGCACGGCGTGGCATGTGGGAGCGCCGTGGTCTGATAGGGCGACTTTCGTGTACTATTCAGTCGGGCCTGCCCCTCTACAGGGGGAATACTCAAAAATAGTCAAACAGTGATGTGGGGACTATGTTTTACATATGTTTTGACCATCGTGGGGTACTGGTTTGACCATGTTGTATTTTTCGTCCACAATCCCCCTGTAGGAGGACAGGCCCGACTTAAGTGTACTAGAGCCGACCCTCCGCCCCCCCATTGTCGTGAGGGCCCTCGGAAACCATCTCTCCACGAATTGCTCCGCAGCGCTCTTGGCGGCCTCTGGACTGCTCCGCTCCAGGACGTCTCAACACCCCAATCCAGGGCGACCGCCAGGTGTCCGAACACGGATCCAAGACACCCCAACAACGCCTCAGCACCCCAGGAAGGACCCAATGCCGCTCACGACACCCAGAGAAGCCTTGATCAACCCCCAGGGACACCCAATGAGGCATCCAGCATGCCTGAGAAGGGCCGGGATGTATACGACACCAGATAGAAATAGGTCGAGCCTGTCCCCCTACAGGTGGATTTGGGGCGAAAAAATTAAAACATTCACAACATACATCAAACAGAAACCACAAAACGTCCCTGGACTTTTTGGCTTCTGCATTAGAGTGTTCCTCCTGTAGAAGGACAGGCCCGACAGAAAGGTCGAACATCATCTATCTGTGCTGTCGAGGCTAATCGGCCTCAGATCGCCTCGGGACGGCGCCTGGAACCCAAAAAATGATGGGCCTGTTTACCACAACCACCACAATAAGTTGGAGGGGGGGGTCCTCCTCTTCCTCCTCCTCCTCCTCCTCCTCCTCCTCCTCCTCCTCCTCCTCCTCTTCGTCCTCCTCCTCCTGGTCATCCTCCTCCCCCTTCCAACTTATGGTGGTGGTGGTGGAAGACAGGCCCATCAAATTAGCCTGGCGAAGGACCCAACCATATGCAGTTGTGAGTAATGCTGGTGTGAGTACCGTCTTCGGTGGATCTCCCTATGGGGCCACGAACCGTTTGAGGGGTGTGCCGAAATGGGTGTGGGGGCGGCATGCGAACGTTGCCACTGGGGCCTTCGGTGGAGCTCCCTATGGGGCCACGAAACGTGTGAGGGGTGTGCCGAAATTGGTGTGGGGGCGGCATGCGAACGCAGTCACTGGGGCCTTCGGTGGAGCTCCCTGTGGGGCCACGAAACTTGTGAGGGGTGTGCCGACATGGGTGTGGGGGCGCATGCGAACCCAGTCACTGGGGCCTTCAGTGGAAATCCCCATGGGGCCACGAAACGTGTGAGGGATGTGCCGAAATGGGTGGTGGGGAGGCATGCGAACCCTGCCACTGGGGCCTTCGGTGGAGCTCCCTATGGGGCCACGAAACGTGTGAGGGGTGTGCCGAAATGGGTGGTGGGGAGGCATGCGGAACCGCTGCCACTGGGGCCTTCGGTGGAGCTCCCTATGGGGCCACGAAACGTGTGAGGGGTGTGCCGAAATGGGTGGTGGGGAGGCATGCGAACCCTGCCACTGGGGCCTTCGGTGGAGCTCCCTATGGGGCCACGAAACGTGTGAGGGGTGTGCCGAAATGGGTGTGGGGAGGCATGCTGCCCGGCCACTGGGGCCTTCGGTGGAGCTCCCTATGGGGCCACCTGTCGGTGCGGACCCAGTCACTGGGGCGGTGGAGCCCTATGGGGCCACGAAACGTGTGAGGGGTGTGCCGAAATGGGTGGTGGGGAGGCATGCGAACCCTGCCACTGGGGCCTTCGGTGGAGCTCCCTATGGGGCCACGAAACGTGTGAGGGGTGGTGTGAATGGGTGGTGGGGAGGCACGCGAACCCTGCCACTGGGGCCTTCGGTGGAGCTCCCTATGGGGCCACGAAACGTGTGAGGGGTGTGCCGAAATGGGTGGTGGGGAGGCATGCGGACCCTGCCACTGGGGCCTTCGGTGGAGCTCCCTATGGGGCCACGAAACGTGTGAGGGGTGTGCCGAAATGGGTGGTGGGGAGGCATGCGGACCCTGCCACTGGGGCCTTCGGTGGAGCTCCCTATGGGGCCACGAAACGTGTGAGGGGTGTGCCGAAATGGGTGGTGGGGAGGCATGCGAACCCTGCCACTGGGGCCTTCGGTGGAGCTCCCTATGGGGCCACGAAACGTGTGAGGGGTGTGCCGAAATGGGTGGTGGGGAGGCATGCGAACCACTGGGGCTTCACTGGGGCCTTCGGTGGAGCTCCCTATGGGGCCACGAAACGTGTGAGGGGTGTGCCGAAAACGATGATGATGATGATGATGATGATGATGATGATGATGATGATGATGATGATGATGATGATGATGATGATGATGATGATGATGATGATGATGATGATGATGATGATGATGATGATGGGAGGAGGGAGGGGGGGGAGGAGGAGGAGGAGGTGAGGATCGCGGGGCGCCGTCTCTTCAAAACGAGGACCCAACACCACAGGATGGTTGGGAAAAAACTGGTCAGGCAGCCGCGAAACAGCCCCACGAGTGGGCGATGACAGTCAGATGCTCGCCTGGAACCCCTCCCAGGACGGCCCAACAGGTAGCCATGACTAGACGAGCGCGTTCCACTACTCGCAAAGTAACTACTCGCAAATGGCCTGGATCCGCCGCGGGGGATCTACGGTAAATTCCGTCGAAACAAAGATATGTTTGTTTTCCCCGGACGTCTGCGAGTGGGCACTTTGCGAGTAGTGGAACGCGCTCGATGAATGACGGCACTAAGACCCGCACATACGCCCCAAGGGGCCCTCGGTAGAACCATCACGCCCAAGACGGCCTTGAGACCCTCGACAGGACCCGAGGGGGGCCCTGGAGGCTCCAAAGCGGTCCCCAACAGGCCCACAGCTCACGTTCCAGAGGGCAAACGAAGGATCAGGAGGAGGAGGAACTGGAGGATCGAGGATGACAGGAGGAGACCGAGGCTGTGGACTCTGCACAACGAAAAGGCGTTCAAGGCATGCGCCAAACCAGACAGGCCACTGAACCGATGCGGCTCTCAAGCCCAATCTCCTCCCAGCTGCGCTGCTGCACTGCCGCATTGCTGCGCTGCTGCTCTGGCAAGGTGGCGGGGTTTGCCGCAGGCGCCCGTATATTTCTCGAAGAGGGGCCCTGTGTACAGGCAGAGAGCGATGGCCTCCTCTACAAGGAGCGTTTTCTCCTGCTTGTCGCTCAATTGCTTGTTGTACCTAGGCAACTCGTTTATCCAATCCTTCACCCGCCAGCGGGACCTTGGATGCTCCTTGTTGATAGTTTCAGATGGCCACTCCTTCGGCCACTCCTTCGGCGATAGCTCTGCTTCGATCAACGTTCTCTGATGGGTCTGTTTTCCACCACCGCCAACATAAGTTGGAGGGGGGGGAGGAGGACGACGAGGAGGAGGAGGACGAAGAGGAGGAGGAGGAGGTGGAGGAGGAGGAGAATGAGGATGACCCCCTCCCCCTCCAACTTATGGTGGTGGTGGTGGAAAAGAAGCCCATCATTCTCAACTGCTCCACTCGGCCCTGGAACTCGCCCAAGCCTTTCGACTGGTCCTGGCACTCGGCCTTGGCACTCCACTCCGTTTGCGAGTCGGTCTCGATTCCGTAGTTCTGGGTCGTCCACTTCCGGTGTGAGTCTACTCCGCACATGTGCTCCTCAACCAGCCCCCTCAGAGTGTCTGGTTTGGGGGAGCCGATGCGGTGCTCCAAGCCAAGAGAAAAGTCTGATCCCTTGCCGTAGTCGTACTGAAACCTGCCCTCCGCAACGAACTTGGCGTTCAGCTCCTTGCCGGTGGCTGCGCCCGCGGCCGCCAGCTTCCTGGCGCTCTCCACCACGACCTCGGCCAGCCGCTCGTCGACGTGGCCGCTGCGCAGCCGCTGGGCCACGGCAGCCGTGGCCTCCTTCGGGTCCGTGAAGCTGCCGATGGCCCTCATGAGCTCGATCTCCCTGCTCGAAGGAGTCCCTGCTCGAAGAAGGCCCGCGACTGCGGCATTCAGGGACTGCCCGAAGAAGTTCTCCAGCGTCCACCCCTCGCGCAGCGGCTCGGCGGCGCCGCACTGGGCGTCGCTGCGCAGCTCGTCGGCCTCGAGCGCCGCTCCGCAAATCCTGCGCAGCGGGTCGCCGTCGAGCGGCTCGGCGGCGTCGAGCTGGGCGTCGCTGCGCACCTCCTCGGCCTGAAGCGCCTTCACCAGAGAAACGACGGCTTCGGTCTGGGGCTCGCTTGGGGGCCACATGTGGGGCGGGGGGAGGGTGGAGTCGGAGGAGGCGGAGGAGGGCGACGACGACGATGAGGACGAGGGGGAGGAGGGAATGGTGAGGAAATGACGGGGAGGAGGAGGAGGAGGAGGGGGAGGGGGAGGGGGAGAGGGAGGGGAGGAGGAGGAGGAGGAGGAGGAGGAGGAGGAGGAGGAAGGAGGAGGAGGGGAGGAGGAGGAGGAGGAGGGGGAGGGGGAGGGGGAGGAGGAGAGGGAGGAGGGAGGAGGAGGAGGGAGGAGGAGGAGGAGGAGGAGGAGGAGGAGGAGGAGGAGGGGGAAGAGGAGGGGGAGGTGGAGGAGGCGGAGGGGGAAGAAGAGGAGAAGGAGGAGGAGGAGGAGGAGGAGGCGGAGGAAGAGGAGGAAGAGGAGGAGAGGCAATGGAGAGGCAATCCATTTTGGTTCACGCCCCCACGTGGCGCCGTCGCCGTCTGGTCGGCGCGCCTAGCCCGACGATGCCGATGGGAACTGCTGCGGACCCTTCGTCGCGCCGCCTGGAGCTCAAGGCGGCCCAAGGCGGCCCGGGTCAGCGTGCTTGCGGTGCATGCCGCCGCTGGCCTCGCTGCGCCCGTGGATCGGGCCGCCGCCCGCGCCCTGCGCGCGGCGGAGGGCCTGGTGCGCTTCGCGGTCGTCGTGCTCGCCGCCGCGCCCCCCCGCCCCCGGAGCCTGCCGCTGCTGGCGATCATGCTCCCGCGAGCCCTCGGCGGCGCCGCAGGCGTCGACGTGACGATGCACACGTGAGACGAGGAGGGCGGCGTGCAGGACTGGGCGGCGGATGACGCGGAGCAGAGGGCAGCAGCGTCGACCGAGCCTGTGCTGCAGGACGACGGCTGAAGGGGCGAGCGGCCCGGCCCGTGCCGCCGAGCCGCCCGCCTTCCAGCACGGGTGTGGCGCACGGGCAGGGGCCAGGGCAAGGCCACGAGCGCCGCCCTGCCCCTCGACGCTAACGCGGTGGGGAGGCCGCGCCCTCGCCGTCGGCGGCGGTCGTGGCCCCTGCGGGCCTGCGTGGCAGCGTCCGCGTGCGGCTACGCGACGGCCGCGTGGGGACGGTGAGCGGCGTCCCCCTGAACGGCTCCATGTGCGTCCTGGTCGGGAGCGGGCGCCGTGCGAGCGTGTACGAGTTCGACGACGGGGACGTGGAGCCACGAGCGGCTCCACGTCCCAGTCTGCATCCTCACCCCAGATCGAAGAGCTTGACGAAGTGATGCGAGCGAGTGTGGCACTGCTGCCCTCATCTTGACGGTAGCAGAGGTATCAGATGAGGAGGAGAGGGAGGAGAAAGAGGAGAAGAGGAGGAGATGGACGAGGAGGGATCACGGAAAAGGAGCACGTGTGCACTTGCGATGATGGTGATGATGGCCAACCGATTCCCCCTGAACTGCGCCAAACCGGATCCCCGGAACCTGTGGGGAATCGAACCCCCCCATCCCGAGGACCCGTGGAGAACTTCTCCCGACCACTTCCTCCCAAATGTGCCCGCCAGGACGCGCGGAAAACCGGCGCCCCAAAACCTGGCCATCGCTCGGACGTCCACTCCCTGTGTTTTTTGTCGGCTTCGTGCGTGGTTCTTTCGCCAAATGATCAAGGATGCTCCTCGATGGTCCTCGCCGAAGAAAAAACGCACACGTCCGAGCGATGCCAAGGAACCTATGGAAAACCGACTCCGTGGAACTGGTGCGGCATCGAAGCGCCAGAACTGCTGGACCCCGCGCCGTCGAGGCGCGTCGTGCGCTCCCTGCGTGCGCGTAAAGGTAGCGCACGCGGGGAGGAGGAGGAGGAGGAGGAGGAGGAGGAGGAGGAGGAGGAGGAGGAGGAGGAGGAGGAGGAGGAGGAGGAGGAAGGAAGGGAGGGAGGGGATGATGATGATGATGATGATGAGGAGGGAGGGAGGAGGAGGAGGAGGAGGAGGAGGAGGAGGAGGAGGAGGAGGAGGAGGATTTTTTTTTGACATCCACAACTGCCAAGACATACTCCCTGGGGGGACGGCGCCTCCCCCCAGAGGTGGGGGCAGGGCTGGGTGGCGCCAACTGCCACTTTCGCCACCAGCCCTGCCCCGCCGCTGACGTCACGGCAACTGCGGGGGGACTCACGCCTAGACGGCTGCCAGTCCCGCATTGCCGTGGAAACAGCGGCGGCCCCTCGCCCCACTCTCGTTGGAGGGAGCCGAGGGAAAAATCGCAGCCTGTTGCACTGACTCCGCGCTGTTGGCGGTGCGACGAGCAACCATATTGGGCCGAGCCTCGGCACCAAAAGCAGGCTGGACGGATCCTCGACCCCTGGACATGCAGGGGACGAGAGGACAAAACCAAAAACAGTACGACCCTACTCGGGAAGGCGCTCTGAGACCAAAAATTTCGAACAATCCGAATCAAAAGTTGGGGACGGGCGTTGAGGAGGAGGGAGGCGCAAGGACGGGAATCGCCCCTGCAGGCAGCTCTTCAGGTCGGCCTACCCCCAGGCTCTTCCTTGGGTGGCGACCACGCATGACTTTGTTAAAATTCGTGCGGCCGTGGCCGCGCAGCACATTGGGGCACTCCTTGGACAAAGCAGTCTTGGCAAACACAGCCTGGTGCATAAAGCCCCCGCATTTGGGGCAGAAAAAGAAATCGGAACCATCCGTACACGGCAGGACCACAACGCTGTGAAAAAGAGAATCAACGATGTCCAGATCAGCACTGGCTCTGCCGATGCACGATCCGCCAGGTGGCATGGCGCAAGAACGAGAACCTACCCTGCACACACTGCATCTCCACACAGAGTGCTGCCACTGCCACTGATGCAGGACCGAGGGCTCCACGGGACCACAGGTGGTGCGACAAGGGGTGACCAGTGGAGCGTCCTCGAGATTCAAGCGTGGCCACATCGGCAGCAGCTTGGCAGCGAGACGGCAAACGACTTTACTGATTTTGACGGCGCGGTACACCCGCTCTTCTTCCTCGGGCGACGGCTGGGGGTGAGAGCGGGCGCCGCGCTGCGCAGCTTTGTCGGCAAAATCGTTTCCTACTCTACGGATTCTCTCAACATCAGATATGCCGACCTCGTCCACATCCTGGTGGGCCTTCACTTTCACCACGGACTGGACGAAAGGGGCATTGTTGATATACAGAAACTGGCCAACATATCGCCTCCTAAACGACAAACGCTCGCTAGGGGGCAGGCGGAAATGATTAACTACCGCAAGGCAGTCGGAAAAAACTTCGGAATTAGCAACAATATGGAGAGCAGCCATGGCAAGGGCACAATACTCCCCAGCTGGTGCTGTCTGGCTGATCGGGTGGTGTACAGGACCATGCAAGGCGCACAAGAGGGAGCCCAGGGGGGAGACCATGCAAACCCCCCAGCCCGCCCTTGAAAGTTCCGAGATGGGATGCCAGAAACAACTCCCGTCAACATAGATGCTGCCCTGCAAGTCCCCATTAGCGAGCGCCTCCGAGAAGTCCTCTTCCTCAGCAGCTGGCAGAATGGCCCCACCCCCCGAGCTAAGGGCCTTTGGCCAGAACGATTCGGGATGCTCGAAGATCCCCCGATCGAACAGGATGCGATCCCCATCCGACAACGGACCCAGGGCAACTTCTAGGATCTCTGGAGGGATAAGCTCGCTGCGAGTCTCGGACACAGCGGGGCACACGTAAAGCCTGTGGTGCACAGAGTCTGGATGGGCACGACACAGAGGGCAGAGCAACTGCACGTCACTGAGCTGGTAGCCCACCTCTGCGGCTCTGTCGGCAGTCCAGGCCCCACCGCAGCAAAGGTTCCTGATCGAACCCTTCTCCAGTGCAGTAAATTTCTTCGATCGCATCTGGCTCTTGCAAATGTCGAAACAAGCCCGATCCCACCCAACATTCAAGCTACTACCCACATGCATTTCAAGACCCCTCACCACTGCCCGCCTGAGGATGTCCTTCAAGAGGGTAGGGCTGACAAAGGTGAGAGAGACAGAGGTGCCGTCATGCATGGCGAGAGTGGCGTAGTTGGGCATGGACCAACCGATGCGCTTGACCGACAAGAAGAGGGCAGAGAGCGGGCCAGCGACAGATCGCCACGTCTTGGGCTGCAGCTTACCCTCGAAAACTGACGACCAGCACCTCCTGAGCTCCTTATGATACATACCCCCCAAGTATTGATGATACTGGGCCGCCCATACCTCCTTCCCCCACCGAACGATAGGTGCGACCATCCCGTAGTAAGTGGGGTCGTCCTCACAAACCAGAGCTGAAGAGAGGCTGCGGCCGCCACAAGACGGCCTGAGACACTTGCCAGCTTGGCGGCGGATGTGGGCAAGCTCGGCGTCGCTGACCCCGTGGATCTCGCAGCCGAAATTGATCCCCGCCAAAGCCCCACTGATAAAAATCTTCTTCGCGGAACGGCCCAGGACCTGACGTTGTTTGCTGATCCTGCTGACACGCTTGTCGAAAGTGGAGCGGCGCTGCTTCGCTTTCCTACAACGGCCCTTGACCCTCCTAGGCAGCCCAGCGGTATCGTCAGTCCCCAGGTTGATAGCCGAAGAGGTCCCCCCAGGGCCAGCCCAGACACCCAAGAAGGCCAGAAGTTTTTCCCCAAGACGCCGCTGACTGCATACGAGGCTCGCCTTGTCAGGAGCGACCTGGCACTTGATATCGGCCTCCACAGCCTTGAACAAGCCCACAGCCCCGACGGTGATGGCCGAATAAACTTCATGAAAACTACCCTGAGCAGACAGACCCAGGTCATCTATGCAAAGATCCAGGCTGGACGATGGATGCAGCTTGACATTAACAAAGGCTTTCATGTAATAGACCCTGACGAAACTAGTAGCAATGCTGCATCCCGCAATGACGCCACGAATCGCCAGGAACGGCCCCTGGATGAACCCACTGATGTTAATGTACCTGGGGGCCCGATAGGCCGTAATACAAAGCCTGGAAACCACCTGCGGGAAATCCGACTCATCA